GAAGCATGCTAAATTAAATGTACTGTGCAAGGTGCTGCAAGAGCAGCGAGCAGGCCATGGAGGCGGCGAGAGCAGTGGCATCAGTCGCAGCCAGGTCAGGCCATTGTTTCAGGGCAGAGACAAAGTCACGTGTTTCCCTGAGCAGCCGAGGTGTGCACAGCACCAACAAGGGTGGGAAGAAGAGGCAAGTAGAAGGACACTCACTGCCGCTCTGGAAGCCTATATCTGCTGCTGTTGCCCTTACCTTTTTAGGTGACGAGTGACTGGGAGGAGAGGGTAAGGGTGAGGGGTGGGGCCAGCCAGTAGTGGGTTCAGCTGAGAGGGAGCCGCAGCAGAGGACCCAAAGAGCTGCATGCGGCTCTAGACCTATGGGTTGCCAGTACCCGGTGTAGTAGAATGCTATAGTCAACATTCTTAAAGGCTGCTGAGAAATCTAGGAAAGCAAGGATTGTTGTGCCATGTTTATCTAAGTGTTGCTATAGACCATGATCTGTGAGAGTGATTAATACAGGTTTTGTCCCATGTGTAGGATTGAATCAAAATAGCTAAGAAACAAGATAATCTATTTCTCATGAAGTTTCTGGCACTCTTCTAAACTTCTACTACTGTAGGTCATCATTTTCCCCATAACCTTTCTCCACAAGGAAAGATTTAATTTTGATAGTAGATATTAATCTAGTTGTCCAAACCTGCTTCTAAGAAGTACAGGAACTAGTGCTTGGTATATCTCCTTGTCTCTCAAAAAGACATTTTTTATAGTGTTGATTTAGAATCTAATCCCCTCTTTGGTTGTTTTTATTAGCCAGGCAGAGTATGGTTTCTGTTTACAAGTGGTAGAGCCAGAGGATTATAACTACTTTCCTGGAGTACTGTACCCCACTTTAGAAGTCTCCCAGATAATACCAGGGAACCACCTTTATCACCTTAATAGAGTTGTATAGTTTTCAAGAGAGTAAATGTGAATAATTTTATTCATAAAGTACTTAGCCAGATAATCATAGTTTACACTGCCTGGCTCTTCAGCTCACCCTTCTCCAAAAGGATACTTTCAAGAGTGCAGATGTAGAAAGGGCAGAAAAGTAATTATGCCTTTTTACTTTTATTATCCTCAGAATAGGGTATCTGTTGTTTATTTGTACCAAATCTCACTTGCTGCTTTTTTTTTAAACTACTGTCAGTCATTGTAACCTTCATTTCTCAGAGTTCTTCCAGAGTTTCATAGAATCAGGGTAGGGTGGGAGGGGAAAGATCTGTATAAACAAATAAAAAAAATAGAGCAAAATGAAAGACACAATTGCCTACCAGATCCTGATAATTTTACCATAGGAGTTTACCAACCTTTGTGTCATATATGCAGTGTACATTTTAAGTACAAACTGATAGCAATAAGACTTATATACTGCTTCACAGTGCTTTACAGCTTTCTCTAAGCATTTTACAGAGTCAGCCTATTGCAGTGATGGTGAAATTTTGTTGTGGTATACAGAAAGTGTGCATGCGTGTGTGCTGGCACCCACAATGCAATGCGCCCTGCCCCCTGTGAATGTACGCACAACACCTCCGTCCCCTTACCTGCACTGCGCATGCACTGCCTCCCAGCTGATTTTCAGCCTTTTTGAGGTCGTTTTTTTCCTCCTGGAGGCTTGAGGGAAGCCTCTGCAGCCTTGGGAGACCAAAAAACAGGCGTTCCAAAAATACCAAAAGTGCCTGTTTTCAGCCTCTGGAGCCTGCGGGAGATAATTTTTGCCCTCCCAGAGGTTCGAGGGAAGCCTCTGCAGCCATGGGAAGCTGAAAATGGGCCTTCCAGAAAAACCGTAAGTGCTGAAACAGGCCTGTTTTCAGCCTCCTGAGGCTGCAGAGGCTTTCCTCGAGCCTCCGGGAGGGCGAAAATGGCCTCAAATGGGCCAAAGATCAACTGGAGGGTGTGCTCATGCACAGTGCAGGTAAGTTTGGCTGGGGCTTATGTGCCCGCATAAATGGCTCTTCGTAGCAGCTATGGCACATGTACCATAGGTTTGCCATCACGGGCCTATTGCATCCAACAATCTGGGTCCTCATTTTACTGTCCTCGGAAGAATGGAAGGCTGAGTCAACCTTGAGCCTGGTGAGATTCGAATTGCCACATTGCAGTCAGCTGGTGGTCAGCAGAAGTAGCCTGCATTACTGCACTCTAACCACTGCGCCACCGCAGTGGCATAGGATGTAAAAACAGCTGTTCCCTTGTTTTTTTATTTAGTAGATTGATATCCTGTTCAAATTGCTTACATGGGGATCTCCCTTCACTCTTATACATGCTACACAATGATGTGCAATGGATTGTACTAAGAAAGAATCTTCCAAAATCAGTGAGGCTCCACAGTAGATGACAGGCTTGAACCTAAGTCTTGCTAGGGCTAAACCAACTTTTGAACAATTTACACCATACTGGATCTCTTGATGTTTTTGGATAAACAACACAACTTCTTAAACCTTTTAGAGATCTCTCATATCTACTGTATATCCTGGACATAATCTGTTTCAACTTTCCCCCTCAGGATGATTCTTTGGGGCATTAAATGCCAAGACAACTAGACCTAAAGGCATTTTTCCCTTTGTGTTATCACTCTGCTGAACACCTAATCCTCATGTTCTATGTCTAAGTATAATTACTCATGTTGTATTGCTGTAGTATTACTTTTATCTTTCTCATCTACTACCCCATCTTATTGGTATCATATGATTATTATTACTCTGTTGCTTTTCATGTATATTGAGAGCTTTTGCACCGGAAATAAATTCCTTATGTGTCTAATCACACTTGGCCAATTAAAGTATTCTATACTAAAATATATATTTAAAAGAAATAGTTTTATTAGAGAAATAAAGCAAGCAATCATAGTATCCTTGGCTTAGTGATACAGGCTAAGCAGACATACAACATGTTCTTTCCCTGTTTGTTGAAAGATAGATTTCTGTCTGTTTTCTCTTATTATTTCTCATATCTTAATATTACTGTCGCTTGCATCTCTGCTTCTTTTTATCATCAATGTAATTCACATATTGTGAGGCAATGGCCTCTTTTGTCACTTTTTTTACTGACTGGTAATGAAATTTGCTAGTAGCATTACCCTGTTAGTAAAATGTTTCATTAAGAATTGGGGGACAATAACAAAGGGAGAAATAAGAAATAGTTAAAAGAGTTCCTTCAGCTGACAAATTATTAGCTAAACTACAATCCTGTGCATAATATATGGATTGATTATAGCTACCAGAATATAACATTCAATGTCCTGGGAAACTGTTTATATTGAATAATATTGTTGACCCCTCTAGTTCATTGTTGCCTATACTTATATCTGTTAGCCATTTCTCTTCATTTTTCCCATGAAAGAATGCCTATCCAGTTACTTTTTGCTTCTTGATAATGCTTCATGTTTTAGCACATAGGTTTGCTATTGCTATTGATTATTCCCCAATTCTTATTGAAAGTATTTTCCTTTATTTGCAAAACAATTTAGTAGTTTCTGCTGCATCTTACAAAAGATAAATTGAGAGTTTCACAGCTGGCTGATGTCTGAAATGAATAGTCTTATATTTAACTTTCAGTAGGATGTGCTGTATGAGATGTGGCAGAATATTCTGCTTTTGATGCTACCTTTTTTATCACTTAGCAAACATTAGGAACTATTTAATTTTAAACCTTGATGTTATATTTTTCTTCAATATTAGTGCGGTATACAAGAATATATACATTCTGTTAATAATTACTATACTGTATGCAGTCTAGTATAGATTTTCAATTCATATTCAGATGGCTGAGCATTTTGAATGATTTAAGACTTTCAAGATTATTGTATTCACAGGATAATTGGATCACTTAAATAATTTGATCGCTTAAATAAAAGAAAAATGAATTTTTCTTCTATTATCTTATACAGTAATATGCACAGTATAAATATTTCTTATAGATTGTGACTTTCCTGCTTATCATGTTTCATATAATCTTGTTTTCAGTTCATTTTTCATTTCATACACAGTTTGAGTCTGATTACTAATTTAATTATCCAGAAATAGTTTGGGTAACCCTTGAGCTTTTTCTCATTTTGTCTTTTGAATAATAAAAATTGACTAAAAGTATTTTTAGTTCTCTTTGAGCTCTTTTCAAGTACACTCTAAGTGACTTTAAGGAGCTGGAGATTTTTTTAAAAAAATAATCATTTTTTAGTAAATATATATTTCCCATTCCCCTCCTTGTATTGGCTATTTGGCTATTCTCTGCCTGTGTGTGGCTTTTATATAGCTTCCACTGTGGTCAGACTTCTTCTGAGGACAGTTTGGAGGGGCAATGCTGGAAAGCGAAAGGATAACTCCCAGATTGATGATGTGTTCCTTTAAAAAATTGCTCTTCAGGCTGCGTAAGAACAAAAATACACCATATAAGAAAATAAACTATATAGTGGACTTCCAATGAAATCTGGGAATCATAGCTTTACAAATAATTAAAATGTAGAGTTCCCATATTGTGATCATGCAAAGTTAGATATTACTGGTAGTGTCCGTTCTGTTGTATTCCTTCATTAGTTATATTATTTGCCATTTATTGCACTACTTCTGTAGTGGGGAGCCTTTCTCCTTATGAAAGATTGGAGACTCCTTGCATGTCTAAAAAGCTTATAAAACCAAGGTTTTAAATTGCATGAGGAATCCCTTTCAATAGGAAAGATACTCTGGGACAAAGATAGTCCTAGGAGGTAAAAAATGGCTGGATGTGTACAGTTAGCCTATTTGGTTAATGCACTCATTCTTCTTGCTGCTTGAGGAATATATTGCTTAAAGAAAGATTAATTCATAACCTAAATGTGCAGTTGATGTATAGGATTGAATGTAATTTAAATATTTATTTAAACTGCTGAACAGTCAATTAAAAGTTTAATAATTTTTAATAAAATAACTAAACTTTGTGATAATGAAGTTATTTAAACAGTTCATCCCTGTTTTTCTTCTCCCTCTCTTGTCATCAGCTTTTACAATGGGTTGCAGACTAAATAAATTGGAAAAACATGGTGACAAACGGCCTGGAAACATTTATTCCACTCTGAAGAGGCCCCAGGTTGAAACAAAAACTGATGTTTTCTATGAATACCATTTTTTAGATTTTACAACTTTAAGTAATGGTAAGTCTTTTCTTTTCATACTGTACATATGAAAGTCAAAATGATAAAATTGTATCACTTCTATATATCAGGGACAAGTGAAGTTTTTGTGGCTGGAAGCTACACTCTTTAATTATATTATTGTTTTGGACAGGCAAACATTATAGTAGACAAAGCAGAGGTATCATTGATGTGAAGAACTGGAATTATGTGGGTTCTATGTGGTAGTTGTTTGGATTTTGAGATCCAAATAACGAAGACATCATTATGCAGAAATTCTAGGTATTGCTCATAGTGGATTCTTGAACTTGGCTAAATTTTTTCCAAAGTTCCTTCAAACATGGTGATTTGATGAAGGAGGAGGAAGGATGTGGTTTTCATTGTGCCCATGAGAGAGAGAAATGAAGTAAAAAATAAAGTGCTATTTACTATTGAAAAGATGGCATAATGTATTTGTCAAGTAAACTTAGATAACCTTTAGATAAACAATTGTACAAATGTCTTTTAGCATTTTTCATATAAACATTCAACAGTTCTGTGATCTAGCCTAAAGAAAGGAGTTATATTTCTGTGAGGCAATGCAAAGAATTTGAAGTGAAAAGAATTTGAAGTGCAATCAATAATTTATATTTTGTGTATATGTATTTTTCTCATCCACGCTGCGGCAAGAGTCCAGGAATGGGTATGACTCCTCCCTCTGACATCATAGAGCTGAGTCTGCCACTGTATAAAAAGCCAGCCCATAGCTGGCTCCCCAGCTTTTGACTCAGCTTCTTGTCTATGAGCTTATGTCTCTGGAAGAAGTAAAAAAAGCTAAAAAACCAGCAAACCAACAGAAGAAGCAAGAAAACAGCTTCAACACAACTCCTGGGGCTCCAGTTGAGCTGTGCCACGAGGAGAGCAGATCCTTCGGCGCTGCCTTGGGGAAGTTGCAGTTACAGGGAGCACTTACAGAGCCTCCCATGCAGTTTCCCAAGTGTTTCAAGGTGGCCGCTCCACAGCTGAATTTTGGGCTGCTCCACTGCTGATTTTTGAAGCTCTGTTATCGCCGCCTCTCAGCTGTTCTCCAGATTGCCATTTGATCGCTCGAGGCCTGGAGAGAGCCTAAGGAGTGAGTGAGACGACGAGGCCATTCCAGGGCCAGTGCACGTGGCAGTCGACCATCTTGAGTGGTGGTCAGCCATGTTTCGAGGAACGGCCATTACCAGGGCCTCACAGCTGAATCTGCTCACCTGGCCCATGCAACAGGCGGCACACTCACAGGGGGAGCTCTCAGCATTTCTTGTCCTGTTGGCAACAATAGAGAGTAAAATAGCCCATTCGGATCTTATTGGCCTAGAAGAAGCCCAGGGTTCTCAGGCCCCAATGAGGAAGAGAAGAAGACAAAGAGGCCATTCAGGGACAAGGCCTTGGCCCCCCAAAAGACATCTAAATCTGAGCTCAGGGCTGAGAAAAGAAGGGTTGCTACTTTGGAGAAAAAGTTTGCTAAGACCCCGGAACAGGTGAGAAGCTGGATCCAACAAACTTCTCAACCAGGGGAAGTGCAGTTTTGCCCAGAGGTTACAGCCAGGGCGGAGGAGGCTGAAACTAGCTATGCCAGCCATCTTCTAACTTGGTCTCCAGAGAGGGTAGAAGAAGAGTTTTTGCTCCAGGATTTAAGCAGGTCTGGGCCCAACTTCAGACAGACTGCCTGGAGTCTAGGTTCCTCTCACCCCCTAGGTCAGATGATTGCCTGAGGCAACCTACACTCTCACTGCTGCAGGCCTGCATCAGTGGACCCTCCCATGGGTAGCAGACCTGATGAGATTAGGGATATGGTATCAGTAGCCATCAGGCAGGGCCTAGCTGAGGGGTTTCAGCAACTACTCCGCCCCTTGGGGGAGCAGTCCTTGTTCCCTGCTTACTCCCAAAGGGTCTCAGAGGGGTTTTCCCAGACAGCAACAGATGCCCATCTACCCAATCTGATTGGGGCAAGGATGAGGAGAGGGATTATACTAACCCTTCAGAGCACAGTCACTCCTCTGTATCAGAGGAAGAGGAAGGTGAAATCAGGGATCCTAATTTATCAGAGGAGGAGGGTCTTAGATCCAATCAACCCCCCACAGCTGCGATTTTGAAATCTTCCATGTTAAACTGCTTCTACATAAGGCCTTAGTCACCGCCCAATTAAGTCCTGAGGAAGTGGCTCCAGAACCCCAAGTGGCTTCTTCTAGCCACAGGGACTCCCCTTTCTCCAAGCTGGTGGTCCACACAGATGTACTTCCTCTGTTATTCCTTGATTTAGTGAAAGAGCAGTGTGCCTCCCTTGGAGCAGGGCCTCGGCCTTTGTCACACAACAGGCGGTTTTACAATGTGGGCCCTTCTTTGGCCAACACCCTCCTAGTGCCTTCTGTAGATGCTCCAGTGGTAGCCTCATTCTCTACATCTGGCACCCCTACTGAGCCAGAGGATGTGCTCAAAGTGGAGGACAAGAGGTCTGAACAAACCCTCAAGAGCACCCACCAGGCTGCGGCTTGGGCTGTCCAAGCCTCGACAGTAGCTTTGTTTTTTACAAAAGCATCACTGCGCTGGCTGCACCAGCTGCAGGATAGGCTTCCTACCACCAATTTTAGATCACATCAAGATCTAAATAAGATCATTGCAGCGGCAGAATTTACAGCTACACTGAATTCAGCTAAGTTTGCCTCAAGGGCCATGGCCTTGGTGGTGGCTAGGAGGCTCCTCTGGCTGTGAAATTGACAGTTTGATTCCTGCCGAAAATGGAAGTTGGCGTCGGGCCCGTGCACTGGAGAACAGCTGTTCGGCACCTCCCTGGAGCCGTACTTGGTTGAAACCAGGGACAAGTCCTCTCCTCGGTGGGGAAGAAGTCAGAGTATCATCTCGTACCGTACTACCGACCCTCTTCCTTCTGATCCAAATCCAACACTCGTTTCTTTCTGGGCCAGAGAGCGTTCCCTCCTCACCAGGAGCAATGATCAGAGGCTGCAAGCAGGCAACAGCAGACTACCACTAAACGGCCGTTTCGAGGAGGAAAAGGTCATTCATTCTGATGCTCAAAGTGAATACCCTTTCTCCCCCAATAGGAGGTCGTTGGCATTCTTCACCTGTAGATGGGAGGAGTCAACATCGGACGCCTGGGTGCTCAGGATGGTGAGGTTCGGTCTCCGGCTTAAGTTCCTCTCCCCAGCCCCAAGATTTTTTTTTGCTGTCCAATATCTCAGGACAGTTTTAAATGGGTCCTTATGGAATTGGCCATCCAACTCCTTGGGGACATAAGAGCCGTACAGTCGGTTCCAGTGGATTAATGAGGACTAGGTTTCTAGTCTCGGCTTTTCATGATCCCGAAGGCCTCGGGTGGGGGTGTGAGCCATTCTTGACCTCAAGTTTTTGAACAGGTGCATTCCATATAGGCATTTCAAGATGCAGACCTTGCATTCAATTCTAGAGAGCATTTGGGAGGGCGACCTCTTCTATAGACCTCAAGGAGGCATACATCCATATCCCTATCTGGCTCCATCACTGACAGTTTCTTGATTTCTTTTAACAGAACAAGCTTTTCTAGTCCTTCCATTTGGGCTTTCATCGGCCCCTAGGGTCTTCACCAAGATCTTGGCAGCATTGCCGATTTTGCTTTGGGTGATACTGGTAAGGCTCCAGTGTTACCTCGACGATATCCTGATTCAGTCGGAATCAATATGCTCCGTCCATCATGATCTCCAAACCATGTTGCAGTTCTTACAAGACCATGGTTTTTCTATCAACTTCAAGAAAAGCTATCTGTTTCCGATGACCAGGCTTCTTCATCTCAGTGTGATCATCGATACATCTCTCTACTTCTCTTTCCAGATCATGGGGAGAGTCTCAACAACTTGATCCGCCAGATTTGACAGCAGCGCACAGTCCCCTTGTCTCACCTGTCCAAGCTCCTCAGAAAAATGACTTCCTGCATTGGCATCGTTCCATGGGCCCGTCTCCATGTCCAGTCTCTTCAATGGTTCCTGCTGTGATTTCAGCGGGCAGGAACCACCCACTCTTCCATCAGGGTTCAGGTTCCACCTCAGATCCTTCACTTCTTCCGGTGGGGGAAATGTCTGGTGAGGGCATCCATTCAAGGAACCAGACAGGATCCTGCTCACCACAGATGGTAGTCTTCAGGGCTGGGGGGGGATCTAGCTGGTGAGATAGCCCAGGGGAGTTAGTCTCAGATAGACAGGGCCTGTGCCATAAATTGGCTAGAGCTCAAGGCCATTGTTCTAGCCCTGAAACATTTCAGGAACAGGGTGGCAGGTGGTCACATGTTGGTCATGATGGATAGGTGGTCGCAAAGGCACATGTCAACAGACAGGGGGGAACCAGGTGCAGGGCCTTAATGAGAGAAGCCCAAAGCCTGGGGAGGTGGGCGGAGAGACACCTTTCCATCAGGGCGGACCACATCTCGGGGGTCGACAACACCCAGGCCAAGGAAGGATGGAAACTGGCTGAGTCGGTCCAAAGTCGATCACTTGGAGGGGAGTTTCCATCCTTCCTTGTTGTTAGATCTGTCTCACAGGTTCAGATCACCAGCAGTAGACCTCTTTGCCACTCCCCAAAATGCTCAGGTAAGCAGATTTTTCACTAGATTTCCAACCCAGGGAGCAGAGCGGAACAAATGGCCTCCAGTCTCCTCCAAGCCTTTCCCCCTCTTCCTATCATTCTGGTGGTCATTCAGAAGATGTTAGAGGAAAAGACAGAGCTACTACTTCTGGCATCCCATTGGCCCAGGAGACCCTGGTTAGCCAATCTGGTGAATCTGTCTGTAACCCAGCCAAGGAGGATCCTCGCCAACAGGATCTCCCTCCACCAGGAAGCGTTACTCCACCCAGACCCTCAATGTTCCGCACTGGAGCGGCAATCTCTGAAGGATTCTAATTTCCATGACAGGGTGATAGAGACCATCCATGCTTCATATAAGCCTTCTACTATTTGCATCTATGATGCTACCTGGAAGGTCTTCTGCTGGTGTTTGAAGATGGCCTGAGATC